GAGTATCTGATAATAAGGTGCTTATATTTTGCCAAACAATCTCCACAAATGAACTGTTTGGTGGATACTCCCTCACATCACACTCTACACAATCACCAGTGCCATTCTCCTCCATTCTACATCAATTACTATAAGTACAACTTTATTAATGCAATCAACTTACAGTGGAACAAAGTGACAGGACATTGTTCTAATCGGATTTATTGTTGAGTTGAAACCATCAACAACACCACTATAAAATATCTGGTGGAAAAGTAGAAGTACATAAATTACATGTATAATTATGCTGCCTAAAAAATGTTCATGCTTACATTTGCTTCAAGAACTGCAAGTTCATAGTCTTTATCATCAACATCTGTTTGACTTATATTAGCAAAGAAAGCAGTGAACCTGAAGAAGAATTGAGAAAACAAGCCACTGGGATCTGAAATAAATCATTGATAATAATTATTCTAAAGGTCAAATTAAACTGCATACTTCTAGTATTGACTGAAATTGTTTGAGAATAATTCCCAGATGAAGATCTGCATGTGTAAGTTCCAGAGATATTTGCTGTACCAGGTAGTATAAAGTCAACGTCTCCGTCAAAGACAATGTAACTAAATAAATATGTTACATCTACTAAGTTAAGCTCCATATCAATGTTTCTATGTGAATAGAGTCCCCTAAAGTCAGAAATGGAGACTCCTTCATTAAGGAGTCTTCTTCCATCATTGGTTGATGTGAAACTTGAGTTCATGAACTTGGTTAAATTTTGAACTATAGAATGATATTGTCATTTTAAAATTTATTTCTCCTCAGCATCATATCGTAAGCACATGTATAGAAATTCTTTACCTTCATTTCCATTTGAATCAAACCACTTGAACTCTTCTCCTGTTGGGCTTCCACATATCAATGCAAAGGCATATCCTTGATTTATTGTATAAGATTCTCTGACAAGTACATCGCCGTTTAATACATCAAAAATTGAGAGTGTTACAGGAATTGAAGCTATTATAAAGATGCAAGAATGATAAATCTCATTATACATAAAAACGAATTTGCATGGAGAATGCACATAGTATAAAAACTCAATTGGATTTTAGTAAAGAGTAAGGTGTCT